GGGTGGGGGGGCACCGGTTGGGGTGGGTGTTGGGGGGGGGGGGGGGGGCGTGGGGAAGGCAAGTGCAGAGCGAGCACGTGGAATAAGACCCCCCCTTCCCTGCACCCCCAGCTGGGGTTGTCTCAGCCCCCTGCTCCCCCCGAGCCTTGCGCACACGCCGTACCTGGGGCCGAGGGGTGTTTGCAGTCCTGGGCTGCCTTGGTGTGGGAGGCGGGGCTGGACGGGGTGAGGGCGGCCTTCGTCGTGGGGGCTGCGGTGGTGGTGGTGGGAACTGCGAACAACAGTGGAAACAACAGGTAGTGGAGGCAATCGCTGGCCCTGGCTGCCCTCCCTCCACAACGCACCCCCCGACCCCGACCTGAGCAGCGACTCCTTCCCCAGGCATGGCCACCGAGCAGCAAACTTCTCCATTCTTCCATCTCTCCCTCACTGGTTTTATCCTGCTGCCCCTCAGCCTAGTATCCGGTGCCCCGCAGCCCACAATCGGTACCAAGAGCAAAGCCCTGGTGGATTTCATGGCATCCCTTTGGGGGGTGGTCAAAACTTTGCTAGGGTAAGGTTTGGGTGTTGATTTGTTAGAACAGTGATAGAAATGTAGCCGTGTTAGTCTGGGGTAGTTGAAGCAAAATACAGGACTATGTAGCACTTTAAAGACTAACAAGATGGTTTATTAGGTGATGAGCTTTCGTGGGCCAGACCCACTTCCTCAGATCAAATAGTGGAAGAAAGTAGTCACAACCATATATACCAAAGGATACAATTTAAAAAAATGAACAAATATGAAAAGGACAATTAGAAGATTGCCTTCAGGTTTACAGATGGGTTGGGCTCTGTTGGGGTGAGGATGGGTGTCAGTGATGGGCAGGGTTGCCAGATGGTTTCAACAAAAATACCGGACACACTTGACATTACATCACAAGCTACATTACATCTAATTTAGAAAATACTGGACATTTCTATTTTCTCATTTATATTTTCTCAATTTGTTTCCCGAATAGAAAGCTCAAATACTGGACTGTTTGGTTCAGAACTGGACACCTGGCAACCCTATGGGGTGTGTTGGGTAGCAGGGGGTATCAGTGATGGGAGACAGAGAAGCTGGGTGAGTCTGCATGGCTGAAGAGATTCAGGGAAAGTGAAACATTAAGAGGGGATCAGATGCATAGGCATGTAACCATCTCCTGGGCACATGGGCAGAAAGGACCAGGTCTGAGGGCTGGTAGGGATGCTAGGGATGATGCTGGGCTGGTGGAAGGGAAATGCTGGGACTCCAGCCTAGCCAGGGGGACTGAAATGGGGTGAGGATGGTGCTTACCTGGCAGGTAAAGTGGAACCCCAGAGCTGAAGTGCAGCATCTGGTTGCGATTGACTATGCAGTAATAATTGCCCTGGTCCTGCTTCTGGAAGCTCTTCACAGTCAGTTTGTAAATGTTGGAATCTTTTTTTGCCTCAAAGCCTGCAGGGGGTTTTCCATCCTCTGTCGGTGCCACCCGGGAGAGGGAAGAAATAAACAAGATGAACTGGGGGGCAGAGTCCTTGGGTTGGCGTATCCAGGATGCTCCGCTGTCGGCCAGGCTGTTGTCTGAGATCACGCACTCCAGCTCCACCTTGGCTCCCAGGACAAAGGGGCTGCTGTTGCGGACCTTCACGCTCATTTTACTTCTCTGGCCCTGGGACCTGCAGCAGCCTGAGGGAGAGAAATCCATCCGGCATAGTTATCAGCACAGTCACACCATTCACAGAGAGTATCCTCAGCACCATCTCAAGCCATATTCTTCTTCTGGGGCCTCAGACCTCACTCAAAGCTCCGTCCTTGCTGATTAGCACCATGCAGACACCCAGATCAGTGAGCCAAGAACATACCCAGAGCTAAGGAATCACCACGCTTTCAGGCAGACTTGGGTAATATATTTCAGCAACTGCTAGCATTCATGTCTACGGCATGCCCATCGGTCACCCTAGCCCTTACGAATGGCTGCCCTAGTTCAAGATCATCTGCTGCAGAGAATCCATCAAGGTAAAAGCTCAGGTTATACCCACGTGTACCAGGACGTATCCAAAAAAATCCTTGGGCCAGATTCTGCTCTCAGTCATGCTGGGGTAAATCTGGAGAAACTCCATTGTCTGCACCTACATGATGGAGCTCAAACTCTGAGCCATTTTCTCCATTCCCTCACAGAAACAAAGTAAATCATAAAACTGATAAAAACAACAAATGGTCTTTATAGGCTAACACTTTATAGTCTAACAAAACATGTAGATGGTATCATGGGCTTTTGTGGGCACTGACCACTTCTTCAGAGGACCGGAATTTATGCCCATGAAAGCTCATGATAAACATGAAACATGAAAGCTACATGTTTTGTTAGTCTATAAAGTGCTACCAGACCATGTGTTGTTTTTTTCTGTACAGACTAACTCCGCTACCCCCTGAATCTTCCGTAAAACTGATAATTTGTCTTATGGTGGTTGTTTGCTTTTTAATCTTTGTTTTGACTCCCTCGTCTATTTATTTGACTCCTCCATCCAACTGACTCTAGAGACCCCACCCTAGATTCCCATTATTAATTACTCTTTTAAAAGAAGCTACACTTAGTAGCAATTCCGTACTCACACAAGCTGAGACTGAGAAAAAACAGCAAAGAAGCAACTCTGGCCATTATCTCCTTGTGCCGACTGTTCTCAAGAAGGGCGCAGTAGAACAGAGATGAATTTGCAGATTTGACTTGATAGGACATACAACTTTTTGCAAAGGATGTGATGTCAGCAAACAGCGTAGGAAAGTTTCTCAGCCTCCAAGATTAAATGAACCAACAGGAGAAGAATTCATCCTGGAGTCAGCCTTGATTCATTTATTAATATGTGTTTCCATCATCTTTCCATATTTAATACCAAACCCCTTCATCACGGTAATCATGGTCTTCTTACCAGCTACAGTTCTTTTCCTTTGCCATTCACTAAAACAAATTTGAGCATTGTTCTTATGGTATTCTTATGTTGATTGGAAGAGCATTGGGGTCTTTAGTTGGATATCTCTGTTTTTTCCATATTGGATCCACTTTCAAACTCTCCTCCCATCTAACTGGGATGTATTTGGAAGCCTCCTCCCATTTAGCCATATGAGAAGTATAGGTGGTTGTCATTTAAGTTTAAGAGCCCATTGTTTCAATCTCAGTGTTTAGATCCCATGTCTCCTCTGTACTGTTGGAAAGTCCATTGCATTACATGGGGGCTATGTCTACACTGGCACCCTTTTCCGGAAAAGGGATGTAGCTTAGACAAGTCGGAATTGCAAATGCAGCGGGGATTTAAAATCAGGAATAAGGGATTTTCCAGAAAAGGCTTTATTTTCCGAAAGATCCCTGTCTAGACTGGCGCTTTTTTTTGGCAAAGCCCCGAGCCGGAAAAAAGCGGCAGCCATGTTCATGCAAATGCAGCGGGGAAAATTTAAATCCCCGCTGCATTTGCAATTCCGATTTGTCTAAGCTGCATCCCTTTTCCGGAAAAGGGTGCGAGTGTAGACGTAGCCTAAGAGTTTATCTACACTGAAGGCCTGCTTCAGTGAATATGTTACTTATGCCAGTGGGAGGGGTTCTCCAATCAGCTCAGGTAATCTACCTTCCCAAGAGTCAGTAGCTATGACAATAGGAGAAGCCCTCTGTCTATACCGGGAGTTAGGTCAGTGTTATTGTGTCACTCACGGATGGGAATTTTTGATACCCTGGGCGCTGTAGTTGTATCAACATCAGTTTCTAATGTAGAGCAACCCAGAATCCTAGTGAAATGCTATAATGAGGATTACAAAACACACTATTTTGTTTATGTACTGAGCACATGATTAGATCTACTTGTACAGTATGTTTTATCAAACACATACACAGTTGGGATGTAGGTTAGTTCCGCCCATGCCTTCAGTCAGGTGTCACCGTGCTTGCAAATTCTTTGCAAAAGCAGCTTTGTGCAGTGCTGAGGGTCTGTGCCGTGTGAAACCCACCATGAGCAGCCCACGACCCTCATGGTATTTTTTCAGATCTTGTGGTTTTAGTCTCTTTAACCACTGTGACTTCCGCCCTGCAGAAGAGGTGCGCATTCTGTTATGTACAAGGCCTTTGCTCTCTGCACCAGGGCTACTGCAGACAGAGGTGGAGTGGCATAAACTCCACAAGGCCTTTGCAACACAGCAAGCAGCTTCAGAAGACAGGAGGGTGTTGACTTATGTTGCACCATCTCTTGTTTCTTCTCTTGGCTGATTCTGCTTGTCGTGTCTTTGAACGCTGATGGATCTTGGGAGCAGAGTCCCATGCATGGCTTGTTTGCATTAGACTCTGATCAAAGGGTCCCTTTTCCCGTTCATATTGGAAACACGACACCGCTAACCTTTGATGCAATTGTTATTGTAGTTGCTTCTTTGACATGATAGTTATAAGAAAAGAAAAAGAAAAACATATAGACCCTGGGCTAACTTCATCGGAAATGAAAAGATCTCGAGTGCATATGTGTTTGTAATTTGTGTCTCTTACAGGAACATACAGTGAGAACACAGGTGATTTTCCACCACATCTTGCTGTGCAAACATCCTTGAAACGGTGAGCATTGTTCCTTATGTCAGCCCAAATATAACCAGACTTTTGCATATGAAGAAGAAATGTGCTGCATTGATAAAACAACACAGCAATTACGCATTTCTGATTAAAAAGAAATATTCATAATTTCCATCAAGCAAATCTATGTTTGAATCTCAAAACTAAACTTGGGATTCTTGAGTCGTGTGCCGCAGAGTTGCTACTGGTATAACTTCATGATATAAAATTAAAATGAAAGCAATTTTAAAACACACGAAACAAAATTACAAGACTTGTGTGAGTTCTTTACATGGTTTCAATGTCATTGCAATAGTTCATTTTCATATAGGTCAGTGGGTCTGCAACTTACTCAATTATGTCACCCTTCCTTGTGTCTGTTTTAATTTACATATGCACCCGGGCATACAGATGCATTTTGTCTTGATGGTTTTATTTGATGAACTACTTTGTGACTCATGACTTATGAGGAAGACAATATCAGCTCCATTCATCTTTATTCACTGCTCTGTTACGCATAGGGTTGCCAGATGGTTTCAACAAAAATACCAGACACACTTGAAATTACATCACAATTTGCATTGCATCTTATTTAGAAAATACCAGACATTTATATTTTCTCAATTTGTGTCCCGAACAGAAAGCTCAAATACTGGATTGTCGGGTTCAAAACCAGACACCTGGCAACCCTAGTTACGCAGATGTGTTTGTAACTTGTACAAACACTATGCTGCATCAAATGGCATTAGGGGGTGCTGTTCCTTTATGTTTGCTGCAGCAATGAGATTATGAAAATCTCTAGCTCAGATGGGACAAAGTAACACATGGTTAATTTTTTTAGTAAGAGTACCCTTAATGTATTCATGGTGGACCTGAAAACCTAGCCTTCTTGGGTGCCACTTACTCAGTCAGATGAGTCACATAACTGGTACTTAGAGAGCTGAATGGCCTACATTTGTACAGTCCCTACAGAAATTTGTGGGTGCAAAAACAGTAACTGCGATGTAACCCAATAGTGAGCTATCTCTTTAAGAGACCCCTGTGCCAGAGGTAGGAATAAATTGAGTGTTACTGTTGCTGGGCAGATTTAGCACTCCACCACACCCAAAAGCTTCTGGAGTTGGGTGGGGTAGTTTGGGGTCAGACTCCATGAGCAAGCAGGAAGGGAAGATGCTTTTCTAAGGCTTGTGTAAGCTGGGAGAAGCTGAGCCAGGAGCAGAGAGCAGGCTGGTGTTCTTCACTCTGAAGCTCTTTCAGCAGGTAGTGATGTTAACCATCTACCAGGGATCATGGGCAATGCTGCTTAGATCAAGGAGAGCCTGGGAGGGACAATACCTTTTCTGTGTTCATTATCTGCTTTAAATGCTGTTTTGATGTTAGCCAAACTGTTTTAGTTCACTCTCTCTGTCAGTGCTCCTCTTTCTATTTAGTAATGGAGAAAGAGTCATTTCTATTTTGTTGTTCTCAGGTTTTGTATTTTCTTGTAACAGGGTTTTTTTGCGAGTTAACTGACTAGTTAATCAGTGAGCTGGCTGCCTAGTTAAGTGATCCACAGTGGAGGAAGAGTCTGTCTGGATTCCAGCTGAGGATTTCCTACATGCAAGTGGCAGATGGTTCAGACTCAGCATATGGTGCAGATTTGATGATCAGAGGCACAAACTGAGACTTTGGTGAATTACATCTAAACATCTGGGTTCTCCTAGTTTCTTCTTATTGTGTTTTGTGAGGATTGAACTATTCAGATCTTACTTTGGTTTTCTTTTTATTTATTTAAATACATTGTAACTGAAGACAGTGTGGGTTACGAAATGGTTATGTTGTAAAAATTAGATTATTTGTGTATTCATTGTAAGATTTTATAAAGTTATTTAATTAAATTCATTTCTTTAGTTTCTTTTGGGACATGAATGTAGGGAGGCTGGCACTGTGCAATCCTTGCTGAAATCCTTAGATTGAACTCTGTGTCTCTAGTTATTTTCTATGGGAGTAGAGGGGTTTTCTTTATTTTAGACACTGGAGAAGGGCAATGAAGTCTAGCCCACCCAAAGGTTACACGGGTATCTTCATCTTCAGAATTGCTGGCATGAAAAAAGGTGGGTGAGAAAAGACTTGGCTTTAAATCAGATCCTATATACTGTAAATAAACAAGGTAATATGTAAATAGCACACATGAAACACAATAGCTCAGATTTGGAATTCAGTTGTGTTGGGGTCAATCTGCAGTTCAGTCCATGGTGTTAACTGAGGATTCAAATCAACAATCTGAGCTCAGACCAATGAGCCAAATCCTGAATAAGGGTTTTACTTTTACTTACTCCTTCCCCTGACCTAATTTTGGTACTCCCCCATTGCATACAAAGTGAAAAACCCAGTTTGATAGTGCGGATGTATCTTACACAGGAGGAAGCATGTACAGGGTTTACATTTATGAAGCATTTTTCGTCTTCCAGCAAGTCCCAGATTAAGTCCCAAAGCAGCCCTCTTTAGTTTGCTGGGAGGGATCCTGAGAGGTAGGAAACAGGAAATCTGATGTTGAAGCAGCAGCATCCTGCATGGTTTCTTCCACTGATGTGGGTGGAAGTTGGGTCATCCCCATACTCACTAGCAGGGTGTAAAATGGAACAATTTCACTCCCGTTGGCTTGCAAAGGAACCAGAATCTGCAGCGGAAATGTGAGCTAGTGAAGGCAGGCTTGTCCCTCAGTAAGGAGGCCTGGATTCTGTGCTTAGCTCCATTGCTGGCTCGCAGTGTGACGGTCTGATTACTGTCTGTGGGCTGTTACCTACCAGCTCTGTGCTCTTGGGAGCCAGGGAGTGACATTCATGGAAAACCATCCTCCCCCTCCCCCCCAAAGCCTTTGCTAGAATCAGACAAAGTAATAAAAAGGCCAGGGAAGACACACCTAAACTAATTAAGGAAACACCCCATCCTCATCTGCATTGAAGATAGAACTCATTAGCATACATAACAGAGAACAGCTCTTCCAAGGCAGGAACCGCAGTGTACTATGGGATACTGAAAGCAGAGAAGCACTGCCTGATGGGAAATCTCTACTCCAGATGCTAATGAACCCAGGCCTGCTCACACCCAAATTAGTCATTATCAGACCAA